TTGGAGTATAGTTGACTTATAATATTATGTTAGTTTCAGGTGTACAACAAAGTGATTCAGTGATACATATATCCATTCTCTTTCACTTGTGTTTCTTAACCCCTTCTCGCTGCCCTGCCCCTTCCTCCTTCCCTCTCCGCACTGGTACCACCAGCTTGTCCTCTCTATCTGTGAGTCTGCTTCTTCTTCGTTATCTTCATCAGTTTCCTGAATTTTTTAGATTCTACATATAAATGGTATCACTTATAAAGATATCAAGTCTCCTCATTATGGTCCTCAAATTATATATATATATATTTTTTCTCAAATTATATTTTTAAAGGAGGAATACTCAACCCTGGTTGCAGATTTAGAATCACTTTTGTTTTTAAAAAAAAATAGCCTGGGCAGATCCCTGGCCAAGTTAATGAGAATACCTGATGTATTGAAATCTCTTTCAATACTTCTGAACATTGAAATATTTTTAAGAGGCAAATAAAGCCCCCATAGCAAGCAGAGCTGGGTGGGGCGGATTCCCATGTACCTCCACTGAGGTTGTTCAGGGATAAAATTTCTGGCAGTCTAGCTTGTTACAAAGGCTGCAGGTGGCTTTGAGGTGGCAGAGGATGGCCTGACCCTCAGGTCTTCTTTCTCAAACATGGTTTATCTCAGACGCACTTTTCATCAACCCCGCACAGCAGAGCATGTCAGCTGGTTCTTGCTCATGGAGCCACAGGGCAGCTGTCCTGAGTGTCTGCTTGAGGGTTCAGAGGTCCAGTTGGTCACCATCTTTCTTCTCAGTGACCTTTGCGAACTTTGTCCTCCATAGGTGCCCACACAAGTGGTAACTATGATTAGAAGCGGCATCTTCAGAGGAAAGCGATGATCAGTGGCAACTGAGGAACAGAAACAAGTGACCCATTTAATCCATTGCATTTGTGGCATGCTTTGCATTTTCCAAATTCTTTCCACGTAGTCCATCTTATTTAACTGCGATGACTTTGCCCTGAGCATCCTTCAAGGGGGTCCTTGTGACAGGACCCTCTGCCACTTTTCCAGCCGATTCTCCTGCCTTTCAGCCCGGGCACCTGTGCTCCAGCCACCTGCAGCCATCTGTGGTCTTTCACGCCTCCATGTTATTGTACATCCTGCCTTCCGTCTCTGTTTCTGGAGTTCTCTTTTCAACTCTGTGCACCCAGTAAATCCCCTCCATCCTTCAGGATCCAGGTGGAGGGTTTCCCCCTCCATCAATCCTTCCCTGCATCCTCGAGTCTCCTGTAGCATCCCTCCCAGCTCCCTAGCTCTGACGCACTCAGGTGGTCCTCTCCCTAAACTGCCGGCCTCTCCAGGGTAAGCAGCCCTTGTGGCTCATGGTTTGCTTGTGCTGAGCACCATGCATGGAAAACTGTCCATGTTTAATCAGTGTTTTCTGAGTTACTGAAGCCCTGTGAAAGGGATTTTGGAAGACCAGGGCAAGAGCAAGCAATGTGTTGTTTCTCCCACTGCTTCACTCTATCCACTCCCTGCAAGCCACAGTGTCCTGGAGAAGAGCCTCTGGGAAAAATGGAACAATGTGGGCTCCTGGAAAGGAAGGAGGTGCCTAACGGAATGGAGGGAGACTTGCGTTCTCCTGGGTGCCCTTACTACATTTTGAACTTTATACCATATTACACGTTTGACCCACTCAAAAGATAAAGTAAAACACAGCTGCTCTCATCTGACAACGGTGTTTGGTGTGAGTGTTGGGCTGTGGAGTCAGCCCCATGTTCGATTCCTGACATTTTCTAGCTGTGTAAACCTGAGCAAATTTCTGAGCTCATCTAAGCCTCTGTTTCCCTATTGTAATATAAACATAATGATTACAGTGCTTGAAATAAAATTAGAAATAGAAAAAGCAGTCCCTGGGAGTGGGAACTGGCCGTGAACAGAAACAATGGCACAGGACACCAGGATCAGATGAGCCTGCTCTGTGACCACGATGGAGCAGGGAACAAACAAGATCACTTCATAACCATGTGTAAATACAGGCAAAAGAATAATGTGTCCAAATCATAAAATGATAAAATGTCCCCTACGCAGGCTCATCTATGTGATTGCAGCTTGTTTAACAATTATATCTATTTGGCTTCAATTTGTGCTTTCCACATTTTGGATGAGAATTATCAAGTTAGTCAGTGATAGAATTACCCCTCCCTCCTGAAAGATTCCAGTCCAGGGCTAAGCCTCCCCTTCTGGGACCCTCTCCTAAATCTCCCAACAGGAACCCAGATCCTTTTACAGCTTCTTTCTACCACGCTTTTCAGGAGATGCCTACTGCTCCAGTGGAGTGTGACCTCCCGGTTGCCATGAGGCTATGAACTCAACTTTGTTCAGCTACAAGTGTGCTTCTGGCAGTTTGGCTGCTGCAAGGCATCAATAGATTTTCACCATCATCATCATTAATAATGACCAACACTTTTTGTCTTCTCCCTCTCCTGTTTAGATTTACCTGGGATTGGATAACAGCAAAGACAAGATTTGACTTCTTGAGTCTTATCCCCACCATCTTTCAGCTGCTTTGTGGAAAATAATACTTTTGCACAATAGGAAAAAAAATTATTTCCTGCCGAATTCCAGCTGCCATTGTTAATGTCAGATTTTGCTAAAAACATCCCATGCAGACTAGAAGTATATTCTGAAAATATCATGGTGCTTTGTTGGTCTCTGCAGCTGAAAAAAAAAGCCCATGCAAGCTCAAAGACTCAGAGCAAATTGATACAGATGCTTAAAGGATTATTTCCAGGGCTTGGAAGCCTCTGAGAAAGATACTTGTTCCACCCAATAAGAATGGCAGCGGTGACCTTCAGGGATGAAGGTCGTCTCAGTGTAGAGATTACCCACACCAGGAAACTTCCTGGAGGCAGAGAATGGGATTCACTGTCAAGACATTCTTTTCTAGGTTGCTTGAGCAACTGAGTACTTGGCTACTTTTGCTTGCTCCCATTTTGGGCTTGAAAATGAGACAGCAATTATTGTTTGGGTTCAGAAATAATGAGGAGTTTCTATCTGGGGAAAATGTTAATATTCTAAAGTGGCACTGAAAACAGGGGATGTAAAATATACATGCTTTACGATCAAAGCTAAGAGTTATATGGAGTTAATAGACTGGAAGGAAAGTACCAAAATATAATACTGATTGCCACTGTGTGGTGAAATGGTGGGCGATCATTTTTTTTTTTTTCCAAATGTCTTATGTAGATCATGTGTTATCTTTATAATGGAAAAGGTGAACAACGATACAATACAAAGATTCAGCAAAATTTCATCTCATGGTAGAGGCGGTGGTGGTCATAGGCTAGACTCCTGGTGGTAGGAGATCAGAAACTTCCCAAGACCCCCGTTCTTTCTGAAAGAAGGCACCAAGCTGCTGGGTGTTTGCAAGTTTTACACAAAGCTCATATTAGGCACCCACCCTTCCAATGGGGAATGGCTGGAGGCCACGTGGGGTGTAGCTTTCCTCTGATGTCTAGCCTATGGCCCAGGGCTCTGCTTCCTGGTCCTGTTGAGTATCCTACTGCTAGCCTCTGTAAGCCTCTGTCCAGGGAGATGCAGGAAGTTTGATTCAGCTCAGCTGCAGTGTATAAAGCTTGGAGAAACGAGAGATCCGACTGGATGGAGAGAATTCAGAGCATAGAGAGCCTTGGGGGCCACACCCGGGAGCCTGCTCTTGGGTACCTAGATCTGTGCTGTTTAAACTGGCTGCCTCCTCCTTCTGGCGTGACAGCATGTCACTTACAGTATCAACATGACGCATCTTCCAGGACATTCAGTTTGATTTGGGTTTTTGGAGTGGTGTGGGGGCACATAAAAAAAGTCAAGTCATTTAAATGCTGAGTATTTTATATCTTTATTTTTATATTAAACAGACAGATACATTTGGTACTGAAATGTGAAATCTGCATGAATTATTAAGAGCAAAGAAATGTTGTGCCTGCAGCAGACCACCTCCTACCACTTCTCTAAACCCTCAGGGACTCACTCTTGGACAATTTAACAGTTTTTTTTTTTTTTTCTCAACAGAAACTGAATTTATAAAGCAAAAAATAGAAAACTGTCCAGGACAGTGAACTGGGGACCAGTCTCCCAGTAATTTTTAATAAGATATGTTTTAAAAAATCAAGTAATGTGCATTTAAATTCTGAAAGAACCACATTAGAACCAGAAAATGGTCTTTTTATCATTTTAAAGGGATGCAAAATGAATACCCTCTGTGGGCTACACAGGTGGCGGAATGTCACATTTGTTACATCATCAAGCTTCATTTCGGGTAGATTACTCCCCTCAGTCTGAGGGATTTATTCCTTTCCTTCTTTCTCTCTCTCCTCTCTCTTCCTCCCTCTCTCCCTCCCTTGCTTCCTTCCTCCCCTCCTTCTCTCTCTCCCCTTCTCCTTCCTTCCTTTCTTTCATTCCACAGACTTATTGAGTTCCTAATGAACGGACATCTCTATACCCCAGGGAACAGTCTCCTGAACTCCTAGGGCTTAGAGCTTCCAGATCCCATGGAGGCAAAACCCTGCAGCAGAAGCATTCTCACAGTTACTGAAAAGTGCGCCTTGAACTCTCCGCCAATGAACTTGGATTCTGGTCCTGCTCAGCCAGTCTCACTGATTGGCCTTGGGCAAAACTTGAGTGAATATGCAAATATCTGTTTCCTCTGCTATAAAACATTGGCACTGCCTGTTTATCTCTGCTGATTTCTCAGCATGGCCATTGTATTTGTGAATACACATTCAAAGGCTTCATCATCTGTGCCATGTTCTACTAGGTTAAGCAGATCATCTAAATAATAAAAGAAGAATCCCAAAGTGTTATTCTTATAATCACTATACCATTCTAACGAAGTTCCTCTGAGCCATCAAGCCATCAAATCAAGGTCAAGCGGTGCTTTTGAGACAGCAGACGGAAGCAAAAGCTGGTGTAAAGTGAAAGGAAGGGAGGGCAGGCATCGCCCTCAGCCCGCAGACAGCGGGTGGGGGGCACACAGCCAGGCCGCCTGCAGCCCCTCGGCGCTGGGTGCCCCGGCACAGCTTCGTGTCCTGCACTCCCTCGGAGACGCAGAGAGGTCCGAGAGTTGGGCCTGATTTCAACGTCACGTGGTGGTTTGGACACAGAATCATCTCGGGTTCCAAAGAAGCTTCTTTGCAAGGAGAGGGGGCGCCGTCCTGCAGCGTGACGCGGTTCCTACCGTCGTCCTTCCTCCGCAGGGCGGGGGCTTTGGTCCATCCCTAATGGGAGGAGCCGGGCTGCTTCTCCGTGGGGACAACACGCCCGGTTAACGCCCTGCTGGGCCTCCTTCCACTCCGCTTTCACCCAGAGGGGAAAGCCTTAGAGGCCTGGCTGTGTGCAGGTCTTTACTCTGTGCCCTGGACCCTTACTAGCTCACTTAATCCTCACAAAAAATCCTCCTGTGCAATTTTTACAAAGAAAAATTTGAGCATCATGAGGCAAAGTAACATCCAGCCCTGTAGATGATGAGTGGGAGTAAATGCAGGGCCTGCCCATCTAACCGCAGCACACAGCACTGTGCGGCCTCGCAATGTCTTTTTAGTCTAATCTTTTTTTTTTTTTTTTTTAGAAAATCTTTTTCTTGTATGTTTATGAGCTTTATTTTTTATTTTCAAAGAAATTAATTAATTTTGTGCTGGGCTCCACTACCAAATGGCATGGACCATAGTTAATCAAACATTCGATCTATTAACTCCTTATCTATCATTTATTCAGGGAATATTGAGTGGACAGACTCATGTCATAGAGTGGAAAACCACAGGCTTTGGAATCAGAGACACTCAGATTTACAACCCAATTTCCAGGAGTGACCTAGAATAAGCCAGTCTCCGTGAACCAGTTTTCCAGTATGTGAAATGGGGATTATAATACCTGTTTTTACTGCAGGAATTAGAAATAATTCTTTCAACATACCTAGCACAGAGTGAATGCTGATAAATATGAATTCTCCCTTGAGGAATAACAAGTCTATAACTTATTCTTTGCTCTCACGACTCACATTTGATACTACTTGCTATGTGCCCCATCTACTGAAGCATAGTGCTGGGGCTGAATCATGTGATGTGTGAACTGATATTACCGATGTCTGTGTAGCTCCTACATCAGAGGATGCGGAATGGCATCATGGGAACATCCTTGAGCTTTAAGACCCCAGGGAGAATATCTCCCACTGGGGCCATGTTAACCAGGCAAGGCCATGATGTAGTAACAAAAAGCCCTGAGTCTCAATGCTGAGCTTAACACAATCAACTTAAAAATTTTATTTTATTGAAGTATATAGTTCATTTACAATGTTGTGTTAATTTCTGCTCTACAACAAAGTGATTCATCCATATCTATGTATTCTTTTTCACATTCTTTTCCTTTATGCTTTATTATAGGCTATTGAATATAGTTCCCCATGCTATACAGTAGGATTTCGTTGTTTATCCCTTTGAGATATAATAATTTACATCTGCTAATCCCCAATTCCCAATCCGTCCCTCCCTGACCCCGTCCCCTTGGCAACCAAAGTCTGCTCTCTATATCTGTGAGCCTGTTCCCATTTCACAGATGGGTTTTTGGTGTCATATTGTAGATGCCACATATAATTGATATTGCATGAAGTTTGTCTCTCTTTCAGGCTTACTTCACTCAGGGTGATAAACTCGAGGTCCATCCATGTTGTGCAAAGGTCATTGCTCACTCTGTCTTCTGCTGAGCATTGCTCCGCTGCATGCATACGCGCCAGGTCTCTCTTACCCACTCATCTGCTGATGGGCACTGTCTTCTGCTGAGCATTACTCTGCTGCATGCATACGCGCCAGGTCTCTCTTGCCCATTCATCTGCTGATGGGCACTGTCTGTCTTCTGCTGAGCATTGCTCCGCTGCATGCATACGCGCCAGGTCTCTCTTGCCCACTCATCTTCTGATGGGCACTGTCTGTCTTCTGCTGAGCATTGCTCCGCTGCATGCATACGCGCCAGGTCTCTCTTACCCACTCATCTGCTGATGGGCACTGTCTGTCTTCTGCTGAGCATTGCTCCGCTGCATGCATACGCGCCAGGTCTCTCTTGCCCACTCATCTGCTGATGGGCACTGAGCTTGACTCCCTGTGTCGTGGCTGTTGTGAATAGTGCTGCTATGAACGTAGGTGTACACCCTTGAGTGGGATTGCTGGGTCATATAGCAGCTCTATTTTTAATTTTTAAAGGAGCCTCCATACTGTTCTCCATAGCGGCTGCACCACCTTATATTACTACCACAGTGAAGAAAGGTTCCCTTTTCTCCACACCCTCCCCAACACTTGTTATTTGTAGACTTTTTAATGATGGCTATCCTGACTAGAGTGAGGTGGTACCTCGCTGTAGTTGTGAACATCATCAACTTTTCTTTATGTCTCATTCCACACATGCAATGTTATGGATCCCTGTGGTCTGACACTGGTCAGGCTGACAGAGGCACCACCATCATACAGCTGTACCATCTGAGATGCACAGGCTCCTGGTAGCTGGTGTAGGAAAGACGATGCTGGGGGTGTGCACTCGGGGTTAAATGGTGCCCATCACCCTGGCTCACAGCCTGCATGTCTGTCCAGATCCTGCCTAACTGCACAGGACAGGGAAATCCACCCTCATGTTTGGACAGAGGGGATAAATGGATGTGAACAGTCATTCCAAGACTCTCCACAGGAAGAATCTTATTTCTGTGAAATCAGTCATTTCTCTGCAGCTCAAATTCCAATCTGAAAGGAACACCTTCCTATGAAAAGATATTTAAACAGACATAGAGAATAGACTTACGGATATGGGGAGAGAGGAAGAGAGGGTGAAATGATTGGAAAGAGAAATATGGAAACTTCCATTACCTTATGTAAAATAGATAGCCTACGGGAATTTGCTATATGGTTCAGGAAACTCAAACAGGGACTCGTATCAACCTAGAGGGGTGGGATGGAGAGAGAGATAGGAGGGAGGTTCAAAAGAGTATACCTATGGCTGATTCATGTTGAGGTTTGACATAAAACAGCAAAATTCTGTACAGCAACTATCCTTCAATAAAAAATAAATAAATTAAAAAAAAACAACAAATTTCTTCTTTTACTGGAAAAATGCAGGACACCCCAATAGGTGCAGGGCAGAGTGCTTGACTCAAATCAGAGAAATAAGTCTTGATTGGTGAAGTCTCTGGATTCAGATGTTAAGAGAGGATCTGGCCAAGGGAGAAGCCAGCCCTCCCTCTCACACAGCCCAGCTTTAACCAGGCTTCTCCAATACAAGGATGCTGGTTTGTACAGAAATGGAGGTTAGGGTTTTAGAAGCTGGAGAACAAAGAAGAGCTGGGTTGTGCCATGGTTCATCCCCAGTGGTTGGAAGGATTTGACATCTGACAGGGTTTTGGAGAATGAACATCATCATTAAAATCAGCTTCAAAAGCAAAGAATGACCAAACATTCTGCATTTTCTCTGATGGTTCACCATAGCTATCCCTATATTATCACACCACTGTATCATTCTTGGGAATTTTCAAAATTTTCATTTTATTTTTTTTAAATGGAAGTGTAGTTAATTTAGGCTTCCTGGGTGTTTCTAGTGGTAAAGAACTTGCCTGTCTATGCAGGAGACACAAGAGACATGGGTTTGATCCCTGGGTCAGGAAGATCCTCTGGAGGAGGGCATGGCAGCCCACGCCAGGATCCTTGCCTAGAGAATTCCATGGACAGAGGAGCCTGGTGGGCTACAGTCCATGGGGCTGAAAAGAGTTGGATGTAATTGAAGCAACTTAGCATGCATGCTCATAGTTAATTTACAATGTTGTGTTTGTTTCAAGGGTACAGCAAAGTGATTCAGTTATACATACTTACAGTCTTCTCCATGAATGGCTGTCATAAGATACTGAGTATAGTTCCACGTGCTATGTTTTATATATCGCACTGTGTCTATGTTAATCTCTGTTAGCTTATCTGCCCCCCTTTCCCCCTTGGCAACCATAAATTTGATCTCTATGTCTGTGACTCTGTTTCTGTTTTGTAAATAAGTTCTCTGTAGCATGTTTTAGATTCTACATGTAAGTGATATCCTATGATATTTGTCTCTGTCTGGCTGACTTCACTTAGTGTGATGATCTCTAGGTCCATCCATGTTGCTGTAAATGTCATTACTTCATTCTCTTTTATGGCTGACTGATATTCCATTGTATATATGTACATCTTTATCCATTCATCAGTCAGTGGCTATTAGGTTGCTTCCGTGTCATGGCTACTGTGAACAGGGCTGCCGTGAACACTGGGGTGCATGCGTCTTTTCTGATGAGGGTTTTCTCCGGATATGTGACCAGGGTGTTCAGAGCAACTTAGAACCTTTTGTTTTGAGCTATTCCTCCCCTAGATACCTGATGCTCTGGTGGAAGAAGATGCATGTGGGACCCTGAGCTCTCACTCATTAGCTGTTTGGATTTGGACTCACTCTCTTTTAGCCTCAGTTTCTTCATCAGTACTATGGGGACAATGATAAACTTGGATGTGTGACTATCATGAGCATCAGATGAAATGAGATGTGAAATGAGGTACACCAACAGTCATGGCTGATAAAAAGCCAGTCACAAAAATGTTATTTGGTGTACTCTCTGTTTATTTACCCCCTGACTTGCTGGGGCTTCAGTTTAAATTCCTGCGTACTCTGGACAACTTGCCCTGGGATGCCAAGATTTTGATCACAAAGGATGCTCTTTCAACCTGTATCTCCCTTCACCCCGGCTTCTTTCTGCACCAGGGAGACCCAACGCCCTGAGATGGTTCTCACCCAGTAACTCCCCTATTGTCCCAGAAAAAAAGCCTAATGACTTTTTCCTGTCACTATCATCAGGACCACTCAAGACATCTGGCTGCCAGCTGCATGATTAGCCAGGGCATTGGCGGGCTCTTCTTCCAGGATGGAGAGAATCTGTTGGAAGATGATAGTCACTGACCACAGGTCACATTATGCCAAAGGAGAAAAATCAGGAAAGGAACAGGGAAGGGGGCAGCAAATACATTTTCACCAGGACTTAGATTTATTCTGGAGAAACATGAACTGATTTAGAAAACGGATACCGCTGAAAGGCAGGAGCAAAGCAATGCTTTGCCGGGGACCA